CAAGCAACTTCCTAGGGTGCCAGAGCAGAGGACACAGCCATTGTCTTCTCCACAGCCTTCAGGGTTAGGCCAAGTGCTCGAGCAGATAAGAAGGTAAAGACCACAACCTGTCAAGGCTCAAGGACACTGGCCTGGGGGCACTTAGTACTGGGAGGGTAGCTGGTCTCTGGCAGACCCAAAGCTGAGAGGCCTGTTGTGCTCACCTCCTGGTCAGAAGGCCTCAAGAGATCAGCCCCACACATAAATAGGGGCTCCTCCCCTGTTCAAAGGGGCCTTGGGGCTCACTGCGAACCCTGACTCCCCTGCCCGTGGGGCTGTTTGCATGGCACCTGTGTCACTCCACTGGATTCGTGATGGCTCCTATATTGTCTCTTTCTTATCAAGGCTGAGAGAAACTGCCCTCAGGATTGGGCTAGGTAGCAAACTCGGATGCCTTGGGGCACTTGTTAAAAATCAAGATGCGCTTGCCCAGGCCCCAAGTGCCCCTCCTCACCTCTTGGTTGTGACCCAGCAGGTCTAGGGGACAGTCGGGAACCCATGTGATTCTGTTGCTCAGGGAGACATTCGCTCAAGAGCCCATCCGACATGGAGGAGACAGACGCCTGGAAGGTGACACGCTGCAGGGCAGCGCCCTATAAAAGCCCACTGAGCTTCCCGTAGCGCCTGTCCCTTAGACAGACCTTCCTCTTCCTCACTTTGTGGGCTGAGAATCCATTGCCCAAAGAGAGAAAGGAAATTGGTCAAGGTCTCTGACAAATCTACCCCAGGACTGAGAGCAGGACCCCCGAGGGCCCCAGCTGCCCAGGGAGATGACGCAGAGGCCACTGCTGCCCGGCCTCCGCACCCAGCCCGGTCCTCTCACCCATATCCCCACGGCCACATTCAAGGCGAAGTACACGGTGATGACAATGAAGTCAGCCAAGCTCAGCTGTGACCAAGGCACATGAGGGTCGCTGGTGGAGTTGTCCAGCGCCATCCTGCAGCAGGTGTCTTCTCGAAGCCTGAGAGAATGAGGGCTAAACCAGGTCGAATGTGACCTCTGGCAGGGATAAATTGATCATTAAACCAAGCAAGACCATGGCATCTCCAGCCCACGGCGTGGCCATGTGCAGGGAGCCTGCTTCAAAGTGTAGCTCTGTCTCCTCCACTCCCCACCCCTCCCCTTTGTGGGGAGGTAAAAGGGAGGGTTGGGAAGGGGAGGGAGCCTCCTTAAATTTAGAGAAGGTTTGGGAAACATAAAGGTTAGTGGATCCAAAGGCAACCAGAATAGTTCCAGAAAGGGCTCAATTACCTAATCATGGTTCAACCTGTATTTAATTCCCCTAAGAAGCATGGAGGGTTGGGGACAGATGTCTCCCCTCCAAGTACACCATCCTGACAGGCAGCTGCATCCAGCAGCCACTGGGCTGTGAGTGGACCGAGAAGGACCTGGGGTGTGGCTCTCATGGCATGTGGTTTGCTACCAGCCACAGCAGTCCTGGGCCCAGAACGTACCCATGTTGGAAGATAGAGACCTATTGCCAAATTTTCTCTTTCCAGACCAGTGAGACAGGCCCAAGTCCCTCATCCTGACCCTCTTTTCGAGTCCCCACGGCCTTCTTAGGTGCATGAAGGGACCTGATATCTAGCAAGAGCCTGACTACAGCTGAGGACTGACGGTGTTCAGCCGTTTCTCACACTCACACTGTGCTCAGCAAACCCATTGAGTGAGTGACATCAAATCACAGTCAGGAAGGGAGGCCAGGAGGCTGAGCTGCCTGTCATCTCAAAGCCACTTAAGAGGCAAGGTTGAGATGTAGTTCCAGATGGGCCCCCAGATCCTCCCTGTCGGTGGCAGTGATGGCTCTGGTTCCATCAGATGCCATCGAGCCCCTCCTGTCCTAGTGCTGGTTTACGGGTCAAATCAGCATGCCAAACCAGGCAGGCACCTCCATGACATGGCCTTTGGAGCTCAGCCAAAACACAGCCTGTCCAGAAGTGTTCACGGGTGAGCAGCTGCCTTGGAACAAGCTGGTCTGCCAAACCAGCTGTGCCTGTTACTCAGTAACAGGGGGCTGAAACAAATCCCCTCACATGCAAGGCAGAGTTGCTGCTCTCCGTAAACCCAGGGAGACTCAGATCGCCCCTCAGCTACCCTTGCCTTCAACCAGCCAACCTCTCAACAGCGTTTACTCCCAAGGCAGGCCTGGATGGGAGTCGTAAATCAAAGGTCACTTAGTGCCTGTCAGAAGGAGCCAGATTTATTAAACCTGTCTCCTAAAGATAAAGCAGTCGAAAAAATAGTATTTGGTCCCCTTTCCTTGGCCTGGGTCTCAGAAGGAAATAAATCATTTAGAAATAATACCCCTGCCCCTTTCTGACCAAAAGCCCTGAACAAAGGTGGTGGGTCAGGAGGAGCTGATGGCTGGGGCCCTGGAGAGAGGGCGGGGCAGTGGACCGGAGGACACGAGAGGGGAACCCCACACTCACACCTACTCACACCTGGGTGCCCAGCACATCTGACCCAGCACGACCACAGTCGAAGGTCCAGTTCTGGCAGACCAGCTTACCCAGGACAGGAATGCCAGGGGCCTGCCCAGCCAAGAGCCAGCCACACAACACCCTGTAAGCTGCATCCATCCCAAGATAGTGCACCTAAGTGTTTTCAGACATCACTGACAACTACCGTGTGGGGTTTTCCACATTAAACAACTCCCCGTCTCTGTGGACACCAACCAGCTGTCTTGCAGTTCAATTGCTACCCCACTCGGCATGGACTCCACAGATGAAGGCCTCAGCCCCACAAGACCGTGCCACTTCAGACACCAGATGCAAGTCCTGCACTTCTGACCAGCTGTCCATAACGACCTCCTCTTCAGGTAGATAATTTGCTAGAACTGCTCACAGAACTCAGGAAAGCACTTTGCTCTGAATGGCTTTTATAAAGGATATAATAAAGGAAAGAGATGAACAGCTGGATAAAGGGGTGTGTAGAGTAAGGTCCAGAAGGGCCCTGAGCAGAGGAGTTTCTGCCCCGAGGAGCTGCAGTGCGACCCCTTTCTTCACATGGGTGTACTCATCGATCTGGAAGCTCTCCAAGCCCCAGTCACTGTGCCGGGGTTTTATGGAGGCTTAATTACATAGGCACGATGGAGTAAGTCTTTGGCACTGCTGATTCGTCAGTCTCCAGCCTCTCTCTTCTCCTGGAGGTTGGGGGATAGGCTGTGGGTTGAAAGTTTTCTACCCTCTAATCATGCTCTGGTCTTTCGGGTGACTGTTTTCTATCCTTAAATTATACAGGGGCCAGCAGCTGCCTATTATCTCATTATCATACAAAAGACTCTGGAAATTTCAAAGGACGACTGTGGAAGTTGTGTGCCAGGATCTGGGTCAGACACAGCCTAACAACAGCTGGGTCCAGGACCAGGACGGACTCCACGATTTCCTTTGGTGGGAAGCCACAGGGTGTGGGTGCACGGTGGGCTACACCACCCAGGTTGAGTGAGTGCACTCAATGATGTTTACACAACTAGGAAGTCACCTCAGAATGTGTCCCTCTCATTAAGTGGCACAGTCATATTTGTTTTTCATTATATCACTGCCACAGACTCATGAAACACATCTCCTGGGTAAGGAGTCGGAGGGGCTGGGCAAGAAAGGGGTTGGTAAGGGCCAAGGCAAGAGGCCTGGATGCATGTCTCCTTCTCTGGGGGTGGGCATAGGAGACGTCTGTGGGTTTATTTCCTTCCTTAGTGCCTCGAAATCGTGCAGGAGGTTTGCCTTGTCTGAACCATGTGGGTGAGCTAGAAGGAACTGAAACACCAGTGGTATTTGCTCATGATTATTCTGCACCAGCTTGTGGACTGAACCCTCCATCTGGCTGCCTATCTGTGGCTCCTGCTTTTGCAATAAACACAGACAGGCTTAGCATTTGTTCTTATTAAATATCATTAGCCCATCTATCCCTCTAGAAACACATGAGTGACCACAGCAGCATGTGTAAGAGAAGAAAGTTGAAAATCACCTAAATATCCAACTAGAGGGATGGCAGAGTGAATCTTGGTACATCCATGGAATACCGTGTTCATTAAAAGCACAAGGTGGCTTTATATAATGACATGGGGGAAGATACATTTTTAAGTGAAAAAAGCAAGTTGCAGAAAGCATACATACCCCTTACCCCTTCGTTCCAGGCAGAAGAGTGTGTCCAAATGACTGCAGTTCTGAGGATGTGGATGGATGTGCACCAATCTGCTAATGACAGGGAAGGGGACTGAGGGCAGGTCCAGAGAATGGCCCCTTTTTCACCAGCCCCCAGAGCCTCCGACCCTGATTCAGCTCCCTCTCCTGAGCCATTTCCAGCTGTTTCCTACCACAGAGTAGAGAAGCTCCAAGGAGCACTTTGCTGGAGAGGAAACTGAGTTCTTCTGTTGCTGGTCTGACCAGAGACAGCCAGCACCTCCCGTTTGTGTCTGCTGGCCATGTGCTGACCAGGTAGGTACATTCCGGATGCTCTTGTCCAGTTGCCCACTTGGCTGCCCTTAGACTCGACAATCCAATTCTGCCTTTCTTTGGAGCTGGGTCGGCAATACCACCAGTTACCCAGGTCTGGACCCTGGGGCTGGCCTGGAGCATGACCATCATCATTTTCTTCTGAGCTTTTCCCACATGCCCAGGCATGCTGGCACCCTCCCCCAGTTTTTTGGTGGATGTAGCAATGGAAGCATGGAGAAATTAAGTAAGCTGCTCAAGGTCACGGTATAAGTAAGAGACAGAGAAGAGGTGAAGGCCCAATCATCTCCAGTTGAGTCTGCTTGTTGAAGCCCATGACAGGCATTCAGTGTTCACATACTCCCCCAGGTGCACTGGCCTGCTCCTCCAGGCTGCTCAACTCTAAATATTTCTTAAATCTCACTGAATCTCAGAGCCTGATTGGTGTCCCCGCATCTGGTCTCAACTATATATTTTTTAAATGTCTATTCTTACTTGTTACTTTTAGGAAATCTCATTTTTTATAGGACTCAGACAGAGGTAGAAGCTCTCAGAGAGAGCGGCCTATGTCTCTTGGCAATCAGTTCCTGGTATTTTTCTTTGGCCTCCTTCATTCTCTTGGCCAAAAATTTAGCATCTTCTGTGACCTCTCTCTTATTTTTCTTTGTACACTGTTTCTTCAGAGCAATACGCTGACATTTGTGCTGTTGGATGCATGGAGCAACAAACCACTGGATCTTGGGTGCTTTGGTCCTTGGTTCATCACCATCTTTGTTTAGGGGCTTTTTCACTCCATATTGGTGGACACTGTCTTCTTTAGAGAAACTGGAAGGTTTGTGGATTTTGCTAGCTCTTTTGGACTCCAGGTGACGAGGCATAGCAGTGTCAGTGAGACCAGGAATACCTTTCCCCAAATGGATGGATGCGCACTCTCTCTCTCCAGTGCCCCCTGGTTGTTGACAGGAATGCCCCTTACTCAACAGCAGGCAGACGCGGCCATGTGTGAAGTCACCCTGCTTCGTGGGGAAACCTTGTTTGTTGTTCCCACCACTGATTCGAACCACATAACCCTTCTGCTCTTCACCCAGAGCATCAGCAGAAACTCCCATTGCCGCATGATTCTCATAAAAAGCACAACATTTGCGTACATTGTCCACTTTGGTGAGTTTCTGGCAACCAGAGGCTGGGAAAGTCAGGCTCAGCTTCATCCTGAAGCAGCCCACTGCCTCTGAGGTACCGAGAAAAAAAGCTGGTCTCCCCTTTTAATCCACCCACCATGCAGGAGATATCAGAATGACCTAATAAGTTAACCCCTGACATGGCACACCTGTTTAAAAATCACCTTTCAATGGCCCTTGTTAGTTATAAGATCAAATGCAGGATCTTTAGCTTAGGACTGGCCCAGCTCCACTTCCTGCTGTTCCCAGCTCCCCAGCAGCCCCGCCACTCTGCACCACACTTCCCTGGCCATGACTGGGCCCACCAGGCAAACTCCAGTCATCCTTCAAGGGCGTGCTGAGCTGTCACCACCACCACTGTGCATCCCTGTGTCGGGAGCCAACCAACAGCCGTCCCCTTGACACAGTCGGGACAGATGAGATGCATCTGCACAGCAGAGGCAACTGTGGCTGGATTTCCTGTCTATCTCTCCTTGCATGTTTTGTCTTTGTGATTAATAGTGGTGGGATTTTTAGACACCTGTATTTCAGGTCCAATGATCTGCAGAATTCCAATGAGGTTGTACAAAATGGCTTCTTGGCCATAGAACAAAGTCCCCCCTTATGAGGTAGCCCTTGAACATCTAAAAGTTGAGAGAGTAATAGCCCCTCCTCTACCTTGCACAGGAATATATATTAATAGAATTAGACGGGTAAAAAAGCAGGAGAAGCTGGTTAACTATTACAAACGAAGCACATAGAAACAATTACTAAGGAGCTAGAGTCCAAAGTACATAAAGATTCTAGACACAAAGATAAATAGTTAAGTTAGCCACCACAAAGGCCTTATAATAAATTTCCTATAACCACTGTTCAGTCTAGCATATCCTTCTGACCCATGCCAAATCCTAAGAACTTTAGTAAACATCTATTAATCAATAAGACATTTAAAACTCTGTATATATGGCTGTTTCTAATTGTCTGATTGATGGGTCTCCTGGTCCAAATAACCTTTGTTTAGCATAACTGAATCTATGGAATTTCCTGTACTTTTCCTAGTTACCTTTTTATTGATTTTTTCTGCTTAACTGATCAGGCCATGCACCTGTTCCTTTAATTTTATGTAACGATCTCTATAAAAATAAAGCTTAACCACACTCTGTGAGTTTGGTCAGACCCACAGAGGCTGGCTGTTCTTTGGCATCGAATCGGGTGTCTGACTCTTCATTCGTTGTCTGCGCCGTCCATCTTTCGGGGACCCTGAGACTTGCTGGGGCTGGACGCTGCGCCCGTCTGCTTTGCGGGCAATGCCGCCATCGCACTGCCTGGGAACTGCGTGTGCTGCAGTTGCACTGGCACAGGGCTGCTCCCCCTGTGTCCCTGCAGCATGCCCCGTGGCCGGGGAACCGCTAAGCCTTTAGGTCTCAGAAGCCTGTTCTCATTTTTATCAAGATAAAATGCATATAACGTAAAATTAACCATTTGAAGTAAATAATTCAATGTTTTTAGTATATTTACAAGTTTTATAATCGCCATCTCTATCTAGCTCCCAGACATTCATCATTATGAGGTAAAACCCCGAGCCCATCAAGAAGTTTCTCTCCATACCCTTTGCCCTCTGGCAACCACTCCCCTTTCTGTCTCTTATCAATCTGCCTATTCTGGACGTGTCAGATCAATGGAATCATTCAACATGTAGCTTTTGGGTCTGGTTTCTTTCACTTAGCATAACGTTTTGGAGATTCATCCACATTGTAACTTGTATCTCTAATTCATTCCTTTTTATAGCTGAATAATATTCTATTTTGTATATTTGCAACACTAAACTTTGTACATGCATTCATCTCCTGATGGACATTCAAGCTGCTCCATACTTCAGCTGTTGCGGACGAGCCGCTGTGAATGGGTGTGCTCACCTGCCGACTTGAACCTCTGATCTGGGGTCTTGCTGGGTCATATGGTAACTCTGTGTTTCACTTTTTGAGGAATAACAACCAGACTGTGTTCCATAGTAGCTGCACCATTTTATGCTTCTGCCATCAGTGTTTCAGGGTTTCTTCACATTCTACCTACACTCATTATTTTCTGGTTTGTTTTTTCATTTGTTTGGTTGTGTTTTTGTTTTGTTTTTAGTATAAACATCCAGTTGAGTATGAATTGGTATCTCACTGTGGTTCTCAATTTGCATTACCTAATGACTAACGATGCTGAACATCTTTACATGTAATTTTTGGCCATTTGCATATCTTTGGAGAAATTTCTATCCAAGTGTTTTGCCCATTTTTTAATTGGATTGTCTTTGGTGTTGAATTGTAAGATTTTATATATGCACACATGCACACACATACATGTATCATATATATGTACACATAAGCACAGCAGTCCCCACTTATCCATGGGGGACATTTTCCAAGACCACCCAGTGGATGCTTAAAACAGCAAATAGTACCAAGCCTTATATATACTGTGTTTTTTCCTACACATATATACCTATGATAAAGTTCAATTTCTAAATTAAGCACAATAAGAGGTTAACAACAATAATAACATAGATTAATTATAACAATGTGCTGTAACACAAGCTATGCACATGGCTTTGGGGCCGTTACTTAAACACAGGCCCCATGATACCACACAGTCGGTTTGATCATGGAGATGGCACTGCTAACAATGAGTAAGTAGCATGCGCAGTGTGGATGTGCTGGGCGAAGGTGACCCGCATCCTGGGCAGGGAGGGACAGGATGGAGAGAGATTTCATGATGCTACTTAGAACAGCAAGTAACTGAACACTTACGAATTGTTTCTTTCTGGAATTTCCCAGTTAATATCTTTGGCCCAAAGCTGACTGCAAGTGAAACCATGGATGGAGGGGTGGACATTGTGTGTATATTCTAGATACTACACCCATATCGGTTATATAATTTGCAAACATGTCTTCCACTTTAACTTGTGTTCACTTTCTTGATAATGTGCTTTTACACTGAAGTTTTAATTTGATGAAATCCAATATATGTTATTTCTTTTTGTTGTTTACTTGTGCTTTTGGTGTCAGATCTAAGAAACCATTGCCAAACCCAAGTTCATGAAGATTTACCCTTATGTTTTATTCTAAAAGTTTTATAATTTTAGCTCTTAAATATAGGTCTTCTTTTTAGGGGGGGTTTTCGCCGGAGGGAGCGTGCTGTTGTCGGGCGGCGGTTTAATTAATTTTAAATCCATTATAATTCTTTTGCACATATATATTCAGTTATCCCAGCCCCATATGTTAAAAACACCATTCTAAAAATTAAAAAAAATTAAAGCCCACCATTCTTTTCCCACTGAAAGGTCTTGGCACACTAGTCAAAAAATTAATAAACAGCTCTGGCCAGGTGGCTGTGTTGGTTGGAGCACTGACCCATACACCAACAGGTTGAGGGTTCAGCCCCTGGTCAGGATGCATACAGGGGACAACCAATTGATGTTTCTCTCTCACATTGACGTTTCTCTCTCTTTCTCTCTCTCTGTGTCTATCCATCCCTTCCTCTCTCTCTAAAATTAATAAATATGTCCTTGGTTGAGGATTAAAAAATAAATAGACCATAAATGTATAGGTTTATTTCTGAACCCTTAATTCTATTCCATTAGTCTACATGTCTCCTTATGCCAGTACCACACTGTTTTGATTACTACTGCTTTGTAATAAGTTTTTAAATGGAGAAATGCAAGTTCTCAACTTTGTTCTTTTTCAAGACTGTTTTGGCTATTGGAAGTCCCTGGAGATTCCACTTATGTGAATGTTAGGATGGATCTTTCTACTCTGTGGAGATTTTGATAGGGATTCTACGATCACTCTGGGAAGTATTGTCATCGTAAGAATAAGTCTTATTCTTATTCCAAGAATATGATTATGGGCTGTCTTTTCATTCATTTAGGTCTACTGTAGTTTCTTTCAACATTGACTTGTAAAATGTATAACATAATATAAAATACATAATATAAAATATATCATTTCAACTCTTGTAAATCATACAATCCAGTAGCTTCTAGTACATTCACAATGTTCTGCAATCATCACTAGTATCTAGTTCTAAGAGATTGTATCCCATCAAATAGAAACCTGTATTTATTAACCAATCAGTCCCCAATTCCCTGCTCCCATCCCCTGGCAACTAGTAATCAACTTTCTGTCCCTGTTGATTTATCTATTCTGAAAATTTCATGTAAGTGGAATAATATAATATGTAACTTTCATATCTGGCATCCTTTTTATTTAGCATGCTTTCAAAGTTCATCCCTGTTGCAGCATGTATTAACACTTCTTCCTTTCTATGACTGAATAATATTCAATCATATAGATATACACGATTTTGTTTATTCATGCACCAGCTCTTGAACATTTGGCTTGTTTCCACCTTTGGCTATTACAGATAGTGCTGCTATGAACAAGTATGTGCATGTTTTTGTTTGAACATTTGTTTTCAGTTCTTTTGGGTGTGTACTCAGGAGTGGGATTGTAAACTAATGTAGTAATTCTATGTTCAAATATTTGAGGAACTGAAAACTGTGTTCCACAGTAGCTGTCCCATTTTACATTCCTACCAACAATGCACAAGGTTTCAAATGTCTCCACATTCTTGCCAACATGTGTTTTCTGTTTTTTCCTTATCATAACTATTCTAGTGTGTGTAGAGTTGTATGTCTTATGGTTTTGATTTGCATTTCCCAAATGTGTAATGATGTTGAACACACAAAGGTAATACACACTTTGCAAAAGTAGCTTAAAAAACTCACTAAGTAAATGGATGCCAAAGATCTCAACAAGCAAAAATCAGAAACTCATCAGGAGAAAGGGAGGTCTAATTTCCAGAGTTGTTACAACGTTATAACACTGAAACTGTCCAGTTCTCATCACAACAACAACAGGAAGCACACAATTGTATTGCCTTTGCTCCTTTGTTAGAGATCAGTTATGGGGTCTATTTCTGGGCTCTCTGTCCTGTTCCACTGATGTATTTGTCTGTTCTTTCTCCGATGAACATGGTCTTGACTAGGATAGCGTTAGAATAAG